ACCAATGGCTCAATTGCGTTTACATTTTTAAGGATTGGAAGTCACTCCACTTGCTCCTTTACTCGTGCCATACATTTGGACAAGTACAACAGTGACATCAGGGTTGTTGTCAAAGCTAGAATGTGCTGCCAATAGGTGGCCAAAAAAATGTAGACCTCTCATTGAGGCACATCAGGCACAAAAGGCCCATTTTGAGATGTCGAGGCTTTTCGGTTCAATGTTCACATTTCTTCTTTCTGACCAGTCACAAAAAAACATCCAAAATACACATTCGGGCGTCTTTTACTGCTACTTCTACTACTATCACGGACCGCTAACAAGAGATTGACTCTAATATGTAAACAAAACCTGCTTTTATCCATTATTCATATTTAAGTTAATGCCTCATTTGATATTTAATGACGACATTTCAGAAAACCTACACTACAAAAGCATGCGGGTAATCAAGTGGAAATATTGCCCAGTTATATTTTGGAATCCAAATGACCTGAAGCGGGTTTTCCTAAACGAATACTTTCTTAGGTATTCAGAAGAGGACTTGTATCACTTTATTTCAATATGGCACCTTTTAAGAATAGAAGTGTCTGAGAAGCGTCTCAAGCTGTGTCTTGTGACTGTACAGCTCTGGGACATAATTGGCGCACAGACAGGTTTTAAAATCACATTTCCATTTTGATTTCTTAGGTATTACCTTAATACCTGACTATCATGTGGGCTTTAGTCCAATCGGTTCACAATGATGATGGCGTCTGAAGAAAAGAAGTGAAATTAGCCTCATCATACATCGGCGTTCCCGTCTGGTGGGACGAAACCGGGCAGCAGCTTCTGCCACATAAACGCCTTCATACCCTCCATTTTAGCCTCTCTGACAGCTGCTGGAAATCGCCGAGATAAAAGCTGACATGACTGACATCAGGACAGGCCGACGCGTCAGCAGCCTCTGTAAGCGTGTGCGGTGCCCGTCAACACGCTCCTCACACGTGTGCTGCGTGACCGTCTACACACACACAGGCAAATGCCACAAGCCTCTGAATGTCAATTAAGTGTGATTCATCTCCCCGGTGCATCGGGGGGGTCGGCAGAGTGTTGCCACTCGTTTATCCGCCTCTCGTCTCCCCGCCGGGCCGACGCTCCGGTTCCGCAGCGACTTCTGCTGCAGAATAGGCCGCAAATTGTGGGGGCAATTGGGGTTGTGAGCGAATAATGGCAAAGGGCTGAAAAGACGTGGATCACGGTGCATTGATACCAATCTCCCTAATAGCACGTGGACAAGTGTGTGTGTGTGTGTGTGTGTGTGTGTCGCTTCAAGGGAAAAATAACCACAGTCAACAGTTCCATGTGATTTCCCAGGGCCGAGTGTTTAGCTGAAATTACAGTCTGTATTAATGGAGTGTGCGCTAAAGGGTGTGCTTCAGTGGGTCGGCGGGTGCATAACTGGAAGTGTTTGTGGATCAAGAGGCAGAAACAAATCATAGGTATTAATATTGTCTCGTCGTTGAACTGTGGTTCCTCTGCCAGTTTCCTTGTCGTCACTTCAAGGGCGTCCTCCGGATCTGAAGCGTGCTCGGCAGCTCTTTGGTGCCGTGTGCCATTTGTCTCTTCTGAAGGCTTTCTAAAGCAGCGAGGGTTGACCGGTCGCTATTGGCAACCAAAGACTGGTGCCCCTTTGCCAGCCTTGCTCCCACTTCTTAAAGTCAGCCCTGTTATGCATGAGTTTATTTGATCACAGAAACCTTTTTTTTGGTGTGTGGGAACAAACGATCAGAGCGAACATCTTGTTCAACTGATTTGCTTTAAAGAATCCTGTCAAACATGTTCAAAAACAACCAGCCTGCCGCAACATTCGAAGACGGAGTGGGGATTTTAACTTGTCATGTCTACTGCGGTGCCTTGCTTAAGCATCCACGCATTTCTCACAACCACAGATTTACTTTATTGAGATATTATTTAATGGGCCGACACAAAATAGTCCGTCATCTGAGAAAGTTGACATGGATTTCAAAATGATTTATAGCGTAAAAGTGTGCACATGTAGTGAGTGTAGAGCAGGTATGGAACGGAGGTTTGGGGTAAATTGCGGCGCGGTCTGGTTGATCCGTCTGGAGGCGGTCGCCTGCCCTCGGCTCCCTCCCTGTTCTCCCTCTCAGAGCTGCACGTTTTCCCTCCTCACATCTCTTTACTCTGCTCGTCCCTCATCGTTTCTGCCCCTCAGTCTCTCCGCTTTAGTCATTCATTTAGTCCCTTTGACTGCTGACTTTCTCTCATTCTGTTGCATTTATCCTTCCACATGAATTCTTCTTCTTCATGTTCCTGTCCTTTCTTGGGGCTCCGTCAAACTATTTTTGCGCATTTTGCTTTTAGCCTTTTTAGCCGCCTCCTTTACCTTCTCTGTCACCCCCCCCCCCCCCTCTGTGTAACAGTGGGACCACTGTGGTTTGTGGCTTTGATGTGATGCCGTCAGAGTGTGTGTGTGTGTGTGTGTGTGTGTGTGTGTATGTACCATCATTTCAGCGCCTTTATGAATATTGGCGATGTTGCTCATTTAAGTGAAGGGGAATTCATTTGTGAGTTTGTGCATGAAAGAGAAAATAAGTAAGAAAGTAGAAGAAGAAGAATGCAGCGGAATGAGGAGAGCCAAATAACGGAGGGGGGGGGGGGGTTGCGGGTTTGGTTATTGCCGCTCTTGTTGATTTAGGCCCGTGCATGTGTGCACATGTCTGGTTGACTGGTTTCACAGCCCATTGTGTCCCTTAGGGGAGAGACTCTAGTTCAATGACTGAATCAGTCTTGTATGCACTCATAGATTCTAAATATGCAGATGCTCTGTACACACACACACACACACACACACACACACACACCCACACACCAGTGTGTTCCCATCACTCTGGACGATGTTCCATCTGCTTGCATTTATTTCCCGGACAGTAAAAGGTGCACAGTACAGGGTTGGGATTGTGTTGACGGTTGTCATCGTGACAAAGCCTGAGCTGAGGACCAGCAGCTAACGGCATTTTAAACTACGGCAAAAGTTTCCAACATGCGCCCCGACCCCACGTGCAGCACAGACACACGCGTCCTCTCTGTTTTCCACAGCTAATTCTCATTCACCTCCATGCTTTGGCATGTAACGCATTGTCCTAATCGATCCCTCACACGCTAAGAGGCTTTTTCTCTGGAGCCCCCCGGGACCAGCCAGACGTTCGCCAATGATCCCCCCGCCCTCCTCTCGCAGGGAGAGTGAGAGGCCGACTTCTCGGATTAATTTTATCTTCACAGGCGCAGAGGCTGACTGTGAGGGCAGAGGGGAGGTGATGGAGAAAAGACCGTGGTGGGATTTGACCCCCGAGTCGGCGGGGGGTTCATGGCAGGGGTCCTGATCACTGCACGAGTGCCGAGCAGAGAGCAGCGAGAAGAGAAGGAGCAAAGTGTTGGAGTTAATGAAGTGTGCAGCAAGAGGCTGGATGATGAAGACCATTGTAGCAAAATGAGGGGATTCAAAGGACGGAACAATCAAAGCCTCTTTCGGAAATGTCCCCTGATAGTGTTTGCAAGCCGCTGGACTTCATCGCATGAACAAAGGATTACAACTTCTCCGCTCTTTCTTTCTTCCGTCCTTGTTTCCTTCTTTTTTTCCTTTTCTTTTCTCCGCCATCTCATAATGATGAGATAAGATTACAAGGTCATTAAAGTTCATTCATTTCAACTAATTTAATGCAGCAAATGCGTGTGTGAGTGTCCATATCGTGCCATAATATAGATACAGTTTATATATACATTATATATAAACTGTATCTACAGCTATATTAATATATACTGTATATACATATACATATGCGTGTTTATATGTATGTATATATATATATATGTATAAATGTATACATATATATAATATATATATATATATTAGGCACAATTGCTGAGGTTTCCTTGTGCTGACACAGATAAATAAAAGTCCCATTGCTGCGAGACAGGGACAATGCAGCTCTGCTGCTGCTGGTGCTTTTAATGAACACTAGACGAGGCTTGTGTCCAGTTTTTAAATGTCTGTCCGTGGCTCGTGATGTTGTGAGCAGAATATCTCCTGTTCAGGGGTTTGTGTTGTTCTCAAAATAAAAAAGGCTCAAGTGCACTTTCTGCCACAATGTTTTCATTTGTCGAATCCTCGTTGGATCTGGTGAGAGCCCGGCTCTCCCCAGTGTGTTTGGACACGGAGAAATAACACGATGAGCAGGGCCGCTGATTCTTCTGAGGGTATCGGGTCCACAGCCCTTCTCCATTTCTTGGCTAAAAGTAGAGATAAAGCTGCTGAACCATTTATGGATCTTTGGCACGTCAGCAATGTAAAATCCTTGTTAGATTGTCTGATGTTCTAATGTGGCATGAAGCATTTCTCCTACATGCACGATACAAGTCTGTTACTGACCGAATGAGATATGAATTTGATGAAAATCTCATTTCAAATAGTCCAATTGACCCTCGGTAGTCGGAGCCCCGTTGTTCTAGGCGGCGCTCTCATCACTGCTTTTCATTCCCAAGGGAAGAGTTCGAGGGGCTTTTTACTGACTTTGAAACACATTGAAGAAGAGGACGAGTGCAGCTGCTGTGGGGTTCGCCCCCTCGCGGCGCCCCGTGGTGGATGAGTTGTGGTGTAATGAGGAGGGCCGAACTAAAAGGAGCCTCAACAAAGGCTATTGGTTCAAATAGTCTTTTTTTTTTGCTCTTTAGTTTTCCTTCACGTTCATCCATAAGTTTGTGTTGAATTGTCAAGGACGTAACTAATCTTTCTCTACAAAAACAAACAATACTTCTAATGAAATACTAATATTTCATATGCAGGGGCGTGTGTGTTTTTGCGTCAGATCTCTGGATCCCAGAAAGCTCTTCTTCCTTCTCAGCCTGTGTTTGTTCCTCTTGGATTTCCGATACAAACAAACCTGTTATTCAAACATTATCGGTTTTGTGGATAATCTTTGTCTCCCTGTCTCGCCCGCCTCCAGGAACCGGAGCTCAGAAAGTGCGAGTAGAGGACGAGCTGGAGGCGTATCCCACTGAGTCTGTTGATCTCCGCTGTGAATTCATCGATAGAGGAGGCCGAACCAAACTCACACAGGTAGGAAGATGGAGCTCAACGCGGCGCTCCGGCAGCACCGTATCTCGCAGGGTTCCATCGATGCTTGCATAAGGTAGACGGAACAAAAGAGAGCGTTTATTGATATCTGGGAGGTGCAGATAGACGCATTAGCTGAGAAAGAGATCCATACAACTCTGACCGTGGCTGTGGAGGATATAAAAGCTTATTTCACACTTAAATTGTCAATGACGCTCTACTGATATCATACGTGTCTGGTTTGTTTCTGTTGCTTTTTGCATGTCATATATTGTGTTTTTGTTTATTATTATTTTTGGATACATGCAAAAAGCATTGTCAAACCTGATGATGGTGCCTTAGGCTTGTCTTATGTCTATTCAAGCATTCATATATCTGGGGTCGTCGTGGCGTAGGGGTAGAGATGGTGCACCGGGAACCTCAAGGTTGGTGGTTTGAGCCCTGGCTGCCCCATGTCGAAGTGTCCCTGAGCAAGACACTTAACCCCTAATGGCTCCCCGTGATGCCCCATCACACCAAGTGAAGCAAAGCTCTGTGAGCTGTTTATTTATTTCTATTTAAGCCCGGTATGATCTCCACCTCTCTGAGCTGTGGATGGAATCAATACGCAATTTGTTCACACACAAAAACTGTAATTGCAGTTTGGATAATTTTCCCCACACGTTTGCTTTATAATCCGGACGGCATACGTGTTAAAGAGGTTTGTTAAAGGTGTATTGATGAACATTATTGCCCCTAAAGTCCACCGCTTCAGCCATTTGTGTGTATTTACTGTAACGCTAGAAAATGGACTTGGTGTAACGGTGGTATTCTCCCTTCCTGTGGAGTCGCATAACAGCTGATAATAATATCTTTCACATATCACAAATTATAAGGAGAAAGCTTGCAAGTTGACTTTGTCAAATAGTGTTCTTTAAAATAGCAACAGGATCTTTGTTTCGAGAGTCTAAAGAGACCTTTAATTTAATCTCCCACTGCTTAGCAACTTAGTCTGGCAGCTTTAATTGAGTTCCGTATATTGCTGCTATAAGTGAAATTACTTTTTCAGTTCTCCAGGAAGAGAGAGCTGCACATATTCCTTTTCTTTATCTAGCTATGAAGAAAGGCATATCTGTCTCAATCAGGCTCAACGGTAGACGTTGTATAAACAAGCGACCAACGCTCCGCGTAGCAGACTGACTGGGAGTTAAACCAGGAAGCTGCATGCGGCAAATTGAAAAGGACGATCGTTTCTCACTATTCTGAAAAGGCTTTCAACTGGCGCTATGAAAGTAGATATATATTTATGTAAAGTGGTGGGACTCCTACTTTCTGAGGATATCATCGTCTCAACCTGCACGGCGAACAAACATCCATAAATCAGAAGCCAAGAATCCTCCAGCTTTTAAGTTTTCCTCAGTGTGAAAGTAATCCAGTGTGTTGTCTGCACATGCACAGGTACGCTGCAAACAATAACCACGTGTACTTTTAAAGGTGCCACCTTGCCACGTGGGCATGAATTGATTCGCACACCTGAATCTTTGATCGGGAAATTGCACCTTCGATAATCCCACTATTCAAACAGTCTTCGCTGTTTATTCACAATCTCGGTTCTTCCCAGGTGTCCTGGATATGGGAACCCGTCGATGGTCAACGGGACAACATCGCCGTATACCACCCGATGTACGGACAGAGCTTCCCCAATGGCTTGTTCAAAGACCGCGTGGTCTTCCTACATAACAACCTTGAGAACCCGTCCATAAGGATCTCTGAGCTAAAGATGTCGGACGCCGGCCGGTACACCTGCGAGTACGCCACCTACCCTTCTGGGAACGAACAGGGCACGACCAGCCTCGTCATGCTGGGTGAGTAGAGCTCGACATCTGGGAGTAGCACCGTTTCAGACAGCACTTGTAAGGGTTCCCCGCTGGGAGTGGGCCTGTAGGGGTTCACCGCCGCCAACATCCCCTTTCACTGGAGAAGACTCAAAAGCCAGAAAAACGCCAGACTTCCGTTGCACAGGGACTTAAAAGCATTACAATTTAAATCACATGTATGTGTATATGCTAAAAGCTGATACGGATCACATTTATGGTTGGTATTCCCTCCTTTTCAAACAATAAGTGGAGGTAACGTGTGTTTACTTGATACCTGGGTCAGTCGGGGGAACAGGTGACTCGGTCCAAATGAAACCAGCCTTTTCTGCTTTCATGTCACGGTCTTCATGTGGCTTTTGTTGAACATGTCATTGTCCGTGTGTTATTGTGAGGAAAGCTTCCGCATAACAGATAGATAGATAGCTACTTTATTAATCCTGTATTGGGACATTTTTATTGGCACTTTTAGCATCTGGTAATTTGGAAGAAAATGTCTTGATTCTTCTTGTTCTGGGTCTCGTTCCTCATGGTTAAATGCACTTATTGCTTTTAACCATAAGTCACTTTGGATAAAAGCCAGCTAAATGTAATGTAAGGATAATAATGACATGTTTTAGCTACCGCAGCATTTACCCATGAAGGTAAAGAAATGCACGATATAGGAAAATGTAATAGTATTAGACTGAGATGTAAGCAGACAAACACACTGTGTCACTGCGCTCGTAGTGAGACAGGTTTGGCCTGAGGAGATTGATCGTACGCTCTTACTGCGGTGGGCACCAATGATCTCCTCCACCTGTCCTTGTGATGAGTGATCAGCGCTCTGCCGGAGAGGCTGCTCCCCGTTATCCAATTACCATTTCTCCAGTGTCCTCGGCCACCTCTTCTCCACCACCTCTTCCACACTTTCTAGTTTTAAGCTAACAATGGAGCCGGCCTTCTCGACCAGTTATCAAAGTATCTGGATGGAGGAAGAACTCGCCATTACGTGGTTCTCGGGTCAACCTCTGATCGGAACCCTTAGACTTTTTGGTTTGATTAGAGTTGAATGTGTTTGGCCGAATGCCCAAATGAATTACCTGGAGGGTCGTCATTGTGATAATCAGATGAAGGCCATTAACATCATTTTGCCAGCCGGATGGGAGGGAGAGACATAAGGAAAGATATATCGCTTTCGTATCGCTCAAAGGACGTGAAAGAGGAGATTCCCCTTTTCTTGTCTCTGATACTTGAGTGAGACAAGTGAACTAAACACACTCTGTCTATTTGTGTCTTTCTGATGTCTGGTTGATTTTAAAAGTAAGTGTAGATTATGGACCCAGTAAGAAGGTTAAATTCTGACCCATGTTTCTCCATGATCACATGACCAAGGACAACACATTATACCTTTTATCCCAAATGGTACTCTGACTTGTTATGGATTCTGGATGCACAGATATGTGTTAAATATTACCATTTATGGGGATCATTATGTTCTAATCTGCTTAGAAATAATGATATAGATCTGGATTATCTGAAGTAACAGTAAATAACTTGCTTACATTTTTTTGTATTATAGTAGCCCAGTTATTGTATCTGTATGTACATGAGTACTCTGCAGAAAGGAGAGCGCAGATTGTTCCAACATTCCCAAAGGTAAAACCTGCAGCCGCTACTTGGAAGCCCCTTTCTGCATTATTCTTCCCCTTTACATTTCCCCAAGCCCCCAGATTATGTAAACCGTGGTTCCACCACTTGATTATCATAAATATGCCCCAATTTAGACAAAGAATGTTACTATGAGATCACTGACTATCCTCCCTCTCCAGCTTTCCATTTATAAACTACGCCAGCCCTCAAAATAGATGCAAAAAGAGACAACACAAGACACGTATGGTACACACACACTTTCCATGTTGAGAACCTGTGGCTTATTAACAGGCTAAACTGCTGCAAACATTTAGCTAATAAGCTCAGGATTTTCAAACTGTAAAACTGCTTCAAAACCCCTGAGAAAAATCTGAGTATTTATTTGTTGTTTGCATGGGACACATCCTGTTGTTATTCATCCACTTGCATGTCTCCCCATTTGCACTTGTGTACAAAGGACTGATGCCCGGCGGGTGTCTCTCTCTCTCTGAGTTTACTGGGGAGGCTTCATGCTGGAACGTGAATAACGGCACTTCCCTGGGTTGTTATATAGGGGTGCTGTTCTTGCGGTATATGGCCCGTAGCGATGGCGGTTGTACGATAAAGATCTCGTACACTGAGAGCTCCTATTAAAGTCTCACGCTGACGGGAGGAACCAATACGATGCACTCTGAACTGAAACGGTGCATTCAACGCAATCCGCCCTGGTGCTTCTTCCTTTTTTACATCTTAAGAGTTTTGTTTGTTAGGGTGATGTGTTCGAGCCTTTTTTCCTCCAACAAATTGGATGCAATCTCGTAACAATGTATTTATTCAGTGCCTGATGTACAATCAAAAGAAGAATTAAAATAAAGATGGATTTCTGAAAGCTATGTAAATTTGTCGCCGCCTCAAATGTGGGTCGGTGGATTCCTTATCCGCCGCACCAGAGGAGTTCAGAGTCACTGTGCAGACACAATAGGAGGCCGTAATTAAAATATATTAATTGCAGTACCCCAGTAATTGCAGCCAGTATGGGTTCATCAAAAGGAATGTTTCATAAATCCTTTCATGTGTCCTCCCAGGGGCCCCCCCCCCCCCCCCCTCCTCCTCCTTCCAGTAGTTTTCAGCCCTCTCAAAACAACACAGGAGATCAGAGCACGCAGGAGATGCAGAACTTGGCGGCCTTGTGGAGGGAGGGAGAGTGTGGGGCTGAACCTCCTAAACTGCCGCTGTCGGCACAAAGCGGAGGTACACGGGGAGACACAATATCTGCTGGACCGTCCCGGCCGTGCCGGGCTCTCTGGGACGCATTCCGGTCCACGTCAATGCAAGTTGTCTCAGAGTCACTGGAAGACACATTTTACCTTATTGGATATGGAATCCATACGAGCCAATCACATTAGATCCTTATCGAATCCACAACCTCTGGCAGCCAATCCTATTACATTTTATTGGATATAGAGGCACCGGCGCCCCCGGTCATATCACAACTCGTTTAAGTGTGAATACATAATGCTGACAGCCAATTGTATTATAACTTATTGGATACAGCGGCAGCGCCAGACGATCTTATTACCTCTGATTGGGGTGTGAATAAAGAATCACTCACTTGACAGTGAGTGATATGATATCCTCCTGGATGGGGACCATACAAAATGGATGGTAGCCAATAATATTTGATCTTATTGGATATAGTGAAGCCAGCAGGACGGACATGCTGCTTGTTGCTCGTGAGGGAGAGCCCAGTGTTTTTTGGGTGGAGCGACTGTCTATCTCAGAATGTGGTTACACAGTTGTGCACAGTTAATAAACAAACACTGATGACATTTATCATATCAAAATGAATAAACATTCAAGGGCTTGCTTTGGAATTCTTTATTTGAGAGGTTTTGCTATGAAAAAGCAAAGATTCCTCGGATTAACCAACAATAGCTTCAGAGTCGTGGTGAAACGGCAGCAGGCGTTGGTTCAGTTTATTTCTTTATAGGCGCCTTTACAAAAAACTTCTCTGAATCAAATAGAATTGTATTGACAGCAAGACGGGTTAGAAAAGATAACCTTGAAGGTTTAGGAGAAATAAACCAAAGGAAACCCGCGTGGAGCCGTTCAATCAGGAGTGTGTCAGTCAGCCGGGTACAATGGGAGACGTCGCCTTGCCGCTGTGGAACAACCACGGTTGAATTGAAACAACATCCTCTATTCTTTGCATCGTCGAGTTGTTGATAACAGACAGAGGACGGTGGGAAAAAAGCCTTTGAGTTTAGTTTGCCCTCAAGTAAGAACAGCAAATCAGCGGAAATGCAGTTAAATGCGGCAGCACAAAGGGGCTTGAAATGCGCGGCCTCGAGGTGCTTCTTCTATCTGCGTTGACGAGTCAACCATGTGCTTTCAGCTTTTCACTTTTGCATAACAAATGTGACATTATAAATTATCATTTCTTTTTTCTTTTTACATTTTAGGCACTTAGCTGACGCCCCCCAGCTTCAATCGGCCAAATTAGCCTAACACTTAAATTAATGCATTTTGTCAACATTTGTAGCCGCCAATAAGGAGCTGTCAAAACAACACACGCAGCAGAATAATTGCAGCATAAACTATGGCTGCCTTACTTGAATATTCATGCGGTGTTAACAATTTAGGAGACATAAAGAGCCGAACAGATGTTTTGTTTGGGGTTTTTTGCCTGACAATGTCTGGAAATAGTCAGCAGCATCGCGTCAGGCTGAGAGGAGATGTTTACAAACCTGGGCAGCTGGTGAGACATGAATTGCAAAAATGTAAGAAGATCCAGAACCCTTTATTGATTTTTGGCTAATGTATGCTGCAAGGTAGAGAATAAACACAAAAAATATATATCGCTCGGCCGCCTTCATCAGGATGCAGCAGTGAATAAATCCATGTTTAGCGAGGGAGGAAAGGAGGAAACACTGAACCAAGGCTGCTGAACCAAAATACGTTGTGCTTCATTCTCAAAACCTACTTGCTCACTGGTTGTATGTTGTGGTTGATTAACGAAATGGACTTTGTTTCCATTTTGCACTCAATCCAATGCAGTTCAAGTACAAGGAAGTAAAGCTACAAGGAAGTAAAGCTTTGGAGCTCTAAAAGTCCAATTCCCAGTGTGTCAGGTTCACTTTTTATTTCTTTGGGGAAGCACGTTTTCCCTAATTCAGAATCTATGGAGATGTGTTGATGTTTAAATGAAATGCTTAAATGCTCAGAAGTACAATACTTGTCACCAACAGAATGTTAGATTTACAATGTTACAATGTTACAATTTATTCCTGTTTTTTTGTTGGTTCAGACTGATGACTGAGATGATTCGTGGTCAACTATCTTTGATAGGGAAATTGCATGGTATGGGGGCCACAAATGGCACTTCTACCAGCCACACTTCAGATATGTGCAGCATTTGCATACTGGGCCAAATTCAACAAACAACTAAGTTGGTGTCCAAAACGTAATAGCTTTGTCACTGCTATTGCCCTGCAGAATTTGGGCCAAATGTAAGTAATGATGTGGATCAGTACTGGGTTCCCTAATTAGTGTCCTGGGGGTCTGGATGGTTCCAACACAAACTCTGTGACTGTGTCAGCTGTCCTGTGTGAATGCCGCCTTAATTCAACGACAGCCGGCCTCACACTGGGTTACAAATCTTCACACTTGACAGATATGCCCGACTTGTATATGATTCAGAATGGCAACCTTCCAGTCGCATGCCTTGATCAGTAGCTGCTTGCCAAGGCGAAAAGAAAGCGCAAAGGGTCTTCAGCATCCCTGCAACAGTGAGAGTGAGAGGATGAAGGATGGCAAGCAAACGTGAGATGGACGGTGGAAAAGTTAATGAATGCAAAGCTTTTGTTATGCAATGAAAAAGTTTTTGGCTAAACATTCAGCAAATTGCAAATGAGAAACATGAACAGATACCGTATAGTAATATACGTATAGTGAATACTTTTTGAGAAATGTGCTTACCTTTTAAGCACCTAATGCAGCTGAATGAAGCTATAGCGTAAGATATGAAGACTAGACTCTATTGTACATCTCTATCAGCTCCCAGCAAATAAGCGCAGGGTCACGCCCTCGTCGCTAGCCTATCAGCTGCTGCCGTCTCAGGGCAAACGCAGCGCAAATCCCCCCGTTGAGTTCAAGCACCAAATAAATTCTGTGAAACTCATGAAGACATCATCCAGCATGATGAATGTTATCATCAAATGTCTCGCCTGATTGAACTGCGTTTGGCAACATTACTGGATGTCTCCCTGTCAGTCTGGCATTCAGCCCATTCATAATACCAAAGGGGGGAGGGCGGGTTTAGTACTGTGCAGGTTTTATTTAGCTGCCCTTTGACACGAAAGAGGCAGGCAATCAATCTGCTGGATGGGACTAACAGGCCGCCAATCAACGAACGCCGTTGTCAACCTGTTGCCAAGCGCCGGCGTTTGAAGACACCTGACGTTGGTCATTTGTAATCAACTCTCAACCTAAACAAAAGTAGCGTGCTAGCTCCGCTGAGCATTGGTGTTTACCTAAAATAAAGTATAGTATGTAGGTCCTTAGTTATCAGGTTGGGAAAATCGAATCTTTGGTGAAAAATAGGTGAGAACGGAAGCAACGATTAATACAGCAAACCTCCAGGCATTTTCTTACATGAACGCAAATATAAACCAAAGGGACTTTGGTGTCAGTCCCTGAGAAGAGCGATGACTTCTTTCACCAAAGACCACGGACCAATTCATCCACCGTCAGAAACGTGTTTTCTGTAATTGCCTGACGTCCAGATGTCTTTCCATTTTCACCATGTCCATCAAAACTCTGTAAACACACAGTCACACATGCAGCGGAGTGAAAGGCATTAATGGGGAAAATCTACTAAATCACGTCCAGCAGAAAAAAACTAAATTGAAACACTTGGCATCACGAAATAATGGGATTCGCTGATATTTACGGATTGAAGTGGTTGTTTTTTGAGCATTGCCACTTTATAGGACGCGTCCAGTTCCTTTTAACGAAAACCAATACGACGGTAGAAGGAACAGCAATTCATATCACTGCTGTAATGTGAAAAGCATCTCACTGTAACTGTTTCTATGATTGATGTGTCACTTCAATTGGAAGCTGTCTGTTTGTAAAACAGACCTCCTGATCGGGCTGAAGACCAAAGCCTTTTTGTACCATTTTCACAGGTTATCAGAGGATGCGCTTTGTTCTGGAGAACACACCAGCTGACATTCACAACCGAACTCATTGAAACCCATCCTTTGCTAACCCTTTCTCGTCCTCTGCCCATAGCCAAGCCTAAGAACTCTGCAAACGCCGTGACCGTCCAGGCCGGCCCCCAGTCCGTGGTGGTGGCCCAGTGCGAAGCGGCAGACGGCAAACCAGCAGCCACCATCAAGTGGACGTCTTCACTCGGAGGGAACCACACAACCAGCACCACCAACGGGCCGGACGGCACGGTGACGGTACGCAGCGAGTACCGGCTGGTCCCCACGCCGGCGGATAACGGCAGGGAGGTGACCTGCACGGTGGAGCAGAGGACGCACCAGCGGCCGTGGGTTTCCGCTGTCAAGCTTTCGGTGGAGTGTAAGGACATTTATCTACCTTAAGGAATACGTACTATGCATCACGTGTCCATTCGAGGCGACAAATAACTTGGTTGGACCCCCCCCCAAAAAAAATGTACTGTAGTAGTAATGTAGACACAGATGGCAGTGAACTGCAAACCCTTCATCAGCATATAGTCAGACCCGGGCGGGAGGCAGGACTCTATAGGGTGACAGTTTATTCACAGAGTGCTAATAGGGCCAAAAAATAAAGTCACTCCAAAAGGAGGAAAACAAAGCTAGTTATCTAAACTAACTGAGACCTGACGCGGGAACTAAAAAAGCTACAAAGAAAAATCACTCGAACGAGGTAAAACTATGGTCACGAGACTAGACAAACTATGGCTATGGATCTTGGACACTGGCTGGTATGACGACGTAGGACGACACACTGGCGCGAGACAAAGGGAGACGCAGACTATAGGAACACATGGGGGAAGAGGGAACCAGTGGACACAATCAGGAATCAATCCGACTGGTCACACATCAGAAAGGGCAAGGAACCTGAAACGAGAGGAGAGTTCATTTCCAAAATAAAGCAGGAAGTCACGAAAACAAACATGGAGACAGGACAAAAAGGTGTGACACATAAAGTAAAAGGAGAAATAAGGAAGTTGAATATTGTGTTAACATTTCTCACCTTTTTACTTTTTTCAAATATTTCAAATCAAGGCCCATAATAGCAAACACACGCACATAATGCTTTCTTCACTTCCATTCTTTTCTTTTTATGAGATCAAGTTATTGGACAGGCTCAGCGCGGATTTGCAGAGTATCCCCAGTTGTGTTACGTCCCTGATTACTGAAGAGAAACAGGTCTTTGTTGAGCCTCTTCTCATTATCTGCCTTTTTTCGGCCGGAACCCACAAACGGCCTGTCAGGCTTCTGCGGGAAATAACAGGAAATGCATATTAGAAACTCCTCTAGATGAACAGAAGACCCCCAGCTACCAGCACACTGATACACGGGGTCAAGCCCACACGTCAAGCTGTCTAATTATCTTCACTGGCTTGAAAGCAACGTATGAACACACACTGAACATCTGTGTGTGCATGTGATCATATTGAGCATCTTTGTGGCTGTGCATACATAATGATGTGTATGCATGAGGCTGAGGGAAGTGGGTGGGCTGCATTTGTACTTACTTACTGTAAGTCCTTTACAAGACAGGCAGTACTTTTCTAATCTGTCACCCTTTAAATCAGCCCAGAGTCGAGGTGACCACTGACAAAGTGTCCCCTCTCTGGACATTAGTCACAGATATAATCACTGAAACACACACACACACGCAGACACACACCGCGGCTTGCGCTGTGTGTGTTAGTTTAGTGACGGCGTGAAGATCGTGTTTCCTGTCCCCTGTGTAACTTAAATCACCTTTTGTAGGTCAACGCTCTCTAAGGAAGGAACGCCCAACCACACACACACACACACACACACACACACACACACCTCCGTCTCCTCACCCTCCTGTCTCTGTCTCTCTCTGTCAGTCTGTCTCTCTGCGAGGGGGAAGGGAGCTCAGCGTTTTCCGTACGGCCCGTTTTACCGTCCTACACACATCACTTGGTTTTGCCTGAAGTGTAAAGTAAGACTCTTGTGAGAGTGACGCTAACTGATTCTCCCCTCCTCCCGCTATATATTTGTGGCTTGAATCTCTGGGTGTAAATCTTTATGTCACATGCTGCTAGATGTGCATAGTAGGAGGAGCTATTTCAGGTTCCCAGACCTCAGGACTGCCAAGGACACCTGATTGTATCATTCCTTACTGAAGATATCAGAAACATTTCGATCAAGCCTTCAACTTAAAATATCTGTAATGGAATTCATCTCCAGAAAAAGCGTCCAAACTTCTCTACAGATGGCAGTTTTTACAGATTGCATAAAATTTTAAGGCAGTCAGACGTTGACGCCCAGCCGGCCGGTTACGGCAACACGTCACCACAACCATGAGAAATCCCTGAGCAAACAGTCAAAAATGATCACACAAAGTATGATGTTCATGGGTCCAGCAGTATGTGAGATCACGCATGGATAGACACACACACACACACACACACAACCAAGTGTGATCTCCACATGGGATCATGCCTCGCTGATATAAAAATGAAAGGTCTTACATTTTGAGATCATGCTTAGACTTAAATGATCTAATAAACATAAAATCAATTGTTCGTTCATCTCAGCCAGGTCAATTCCCTCCCCCTCATGTCAAAAACCTCCACACACTCTGCCGATGTGCAGGAAATACCATGAACCGTCAATAATGCCAAGTCCAATAAAGTCAAAACCTCCTGTTTGTACACGGGTCGCGCTTTTTTCTCCTCCTCTTTCTGAATGGAGGAGAGCTTCAGCAGGAGGCCACCGCCGCTCTGATGAAGCGCTATGATGGGATAAGCTAATAAAACTCAGGACTGTCTTTCACTGACAGGAAGTTTAAATAACGTCTCCCGTGCCTCTCGCTCTCTTCCAGACCCCCCGTCCGTGTCCATAGAGGGCTACGACAACAACTGGTACGTGGGCCGCTCGGACGTCGTGCTGGTCTGCAAGGTCGACGGCAACCCCCCGCCCACCGACGTCACCTGGACCGCGTAAGAACCCCGCCCCCTATGTCGGAACCCGCCTGTGCGTCTCCCTCCACCCCCCTCGGAGAGAAGGACGCAGTTTTAAAATATTGCTAAAATCCCCACAGACGCGTGCACCACCACAGCTTGTCTTTAATGATCCCTTTGTCAGTGCTTTTCTGATCAACACGAGCCTCTGAGCATGGCGCCGCGATGGACAGATGGCGTGCTGTGCTCTGTGCACGCGGGGAGAAGGAGCGGCTGTTCACATGTCTGGGATTCGGCTCACATTAATGCAGTCTTTGACTATCGCTCACAAAACGCTCTCTTATTTTTCGTCTCTTCATTTGTGCCATCCTTCTCTCCTCCTCCTCGCCTCTCTGTCTGTTTGTCTCATTTCATCCGACATCTGAAAAACGACGTCCCTCCCTCTGTCCTGTCTTACTTCTTTTCTTTCACTGTTGTCTCCCCTTCATCCTTTCCCTGCATCTTAACAACCTCCCTTTCCCTCCCCCCTCCCCCCTCCCACACCCCTCCAGGGTCTCCGGGGCTCTGCCGGACACGGTGGTGGTGAGCGGCAACAAGTTGACGGTGAGGAAGGTGGACGACGCCGTCAACACCACTTTCATCTGCGGGGTCAAGAACATGCGCGGCGCCAGCCAGCACCAGATCACCACCTACGTCATCGGTGAGTCCCGTCGGACGGCGAGCTCACACACACACACACACACACACACGCTCACACACGCACGCACACAATCTTGCTGTAATACGATTGGACGGTTTCATCACAAAGTGCTGCACAGGTGCATGAAAACATGATGAAACACACACAACATCTTCAAGAGAACATGCGCATGCAATCACTGCCTGCACACACACACACACACACACTGAGAATTGTGGCTAATGCTACTCCACACATTACTTCCTGCACACTCTGCACACATCGCTCATAGATACACTTCCACTCATGCATGCAGAGACACACAAATGTATTTTTCACACGCACACACACACACACACACACACATGCTGTACTCATGCTGGGATCAGTGCTGATTTGGGTGCTGCAGGGACGCTGGTGTTTCTCTCAACCTTTCCTCAACTTTGACGCGACTCCTTCCTCTCCCGCTGGCCTTTCACCTGAGCAGTGATTGGCAGAGGCTTCCAACCTCGAACACCCCCCGCCGTCCCCCCCCCCCCCCCGGGGCCTAACCGCTGGACGAGGGCCCACTCAAAACTTCCATGACATCAGATCAGATCGGAAAGCGCTCTCCTGCGAGACAGATGCAAAACAAGGCGTGGATGTGAGTCGGCCCTCGCCGCGGCGTTCCGTCCCTGCGGTGGACGTGGCCGAGACGGGAATGTTTGAGGAGGAGGGGGGGGGGTTCTTAAATCATCCCAAAGGGCTTGAAGTTGGTGTGAGCCGGTTTGCATGGGTTTGCTTTTCTTCCTCCTCTTGCTTTTCTTTCCTTCTTCTTTCTGTTTGCATAACAACTAACAGCTCTGAACAAACTCTCAGTTTTCTCTCTCCTCGCCTCTCTTGGCGTGCGTAGTCCGGTGAGCTGTTGCCACTGTGTCCAGCCTTTTTTTTTTTCTTTTCATATTTCCCACATGCCCTCTGAAAATCTCTCACATTGACCCGACACACACACACACAAACCTGCACTGGCACTTGTGTGCACACACACAAAAACCCAGGAACATGCTGAAATGCCTCACTGCACACCAGCAGCCTGTTAAGAATGTCTCTCCTTTCCATTGCTGCATGTGTGTGCGTGAGTCACACACTCTCCACCGACTGCTCGACTGGTCAAAGCGCTTTCCTTCCTACTCCCCTTTATTTTTGGATGAATTAGTTGCAGTAATCACCATGCTGAGTTTACAACACAACAACTTGCGGCGCTTTCGTGCCGTCGAAGGCAGAGCTACATTTAGAAAATCCGTGGGAAATCCGAGCCGGAGATTTGAATTGTCTCCTCCGAGGAACAAAGGTGCTTTGTAGTCGGGCAGTGTGTTGGGAGGGATGTGTGGGAGGTTCACAAGTGGCTAAGCCGCTACCGTTCACGCTTGAAGCTCGGCTGTGTGACTGACTTAGAGTCTCAGTGGCGGTTCGTAAGCTTGACACGATAAAAAACGCCTCCCATGTAAAAGTCTGCACACGTTACTCACAAAGCAAACACACACATGCGCTTTGAGCACTTTGAAAGCCTGCACATGAAGGTAGCAATGGCCGTCATCTGTCCTTGGTGTCCCCTGTTTGCTGGAGTCCCCTCCCTGGTTGGGCATCGAGCGCGTGTCGGTTTTAACGCCTGGACGTACCGAAGGCGAGCGCCGGGAGCGCAAGCTGGCGAGGCGCGGCCCTCGGCCAGGGGAACAATCCGACACACCCGTCCAAAGCAACTCCTCACGGCCACAGAGGGAGTCTGTGCCTTGCTCAAGGACGCTTTGACCCAGCTTGAATCTTAGAGCGACTGTATTTCCGCCTGTTTGTTTGTGTTGGTACATTTTACATCAGTGCTCGTATGATAGTTTATACACCCCAGTATGAAAAGGCCTTTGCTGGGATTAAAGCAGCATTGGCTACGTCTATATATTGGTCCATATGAAAAACATAGATATGTTATAGTATGTATAGTAATGTATAGTTTTTAAAGGTCACATTGGTCAAGTGAAGATGAAGAAAAGGGTAAACGTTTGTTATGAGGTGAGGAGGGCTGATGAATGCAGAGGTGTGGGGAGGGGGGGGGGGGGGGCGTGACAGCAGCCTGAAGGAAGGTGGAGATGACAGCATTAATGACAGGATGCATGCAGGACAAACTGCGGGGAAAAGAAACAGAAGAAGTCTTCCTGACTGAAGTTGATTATTCACATGACTGGATGATTCATTCTTGTGAACGTGTGAATTCTACAAACCAACTGTACTTTTAGTTTTTATGCAGACAAACATTTGGAAATGCGACACAACGGCGATATATGAATATCTCTCTGATGATTTAAGGGTTTATTTGACAAACATCCCATTCATTGTCTGCTCCTTTTCATGTAGTATTTATTCATTGATGTCATTGAAGCTTTGCTGAATATTTATGCTATCCGTCTCCGCCAGAAGCAATACTGTGTGTGTGTGTGTGTGTGTGTGTGTGTATCGACTCACAGCTAATCTGAGTGTTGTTGTGCGTTGGGCCAGTCATGGCTGGATGCTCAAGGACGTCTCGTGGTTTGAATGACTCCCACTTTTGTCTTCTTACTCCTTCATACTGCTCTGCCATCGTCAGTCTGCTCACTCCTCTTTAGTTATTAAGGACCCTCAGCAGGTGGGGGCCACTAACGTAGACGCTGCTCCGCTGCCAGAGACACAGGGCCTCACGCGCTGGCGCGTCTGCGCCCCACTTCATGCGTATTTGTTTCGCGATGTGCGCGTCAAAGCAGCGTCAAAGCAAAGCGGCGAGGCACAGACAAGCCGCTGCGCTTTCCATGTCCTGCAAGGATCACACTTGTTCAGTTGAGTGAACATGAATGCATTTTTGTTTTTGCTGTTTTGATTCACGATAGAAGGAGAGAAGGAGGTCTGAAGTGCGTGTTTAAATGCTCGCTGTGTGCGGTGTAGTGGGCGGAGGTGATTACCCGATGAGCTGCAGGTTTCTGTAAATACAGCGAGCAATATCTGCGTGTTTGCCGTGAGGCTGATAACAAATTTAGGTACATGAGGCCCTGATAACTACACACTACACTACACAACTACACAAAATTTCACCGTAAATTAACGGTATTTTACTGGCAGCCAGGACGCCAGGAATTTACCGTTATTTGACGGTATAATACCGTAAATGTTTTTTTATTCTATGTTACCGTGAAATGGATTACTGTATGTTACCGTAAACTACGGTGTTTAAACTACCGTAAACAAATTTTGCTGTGAATTAACTGCAATTTACTGGCAGTCGACGCTAGTAACTTACTGTTTTATTTACAGTGCCCTGCCGTAATTTACGGTATGTTGTTGTATATTGGATTACAGTTTGTTGCCATACGATTACTGTTTTTGCGTTACAAATACCAGAATGTTACCGTTTACTTATAACCGTATACTTTTGCATTTAATTCCCCACAAACTAAAGAAAGACAACCAAACTCATTTTGGTCATAGTGGTTGGAGTTTATTAGATGCCTTCAAGACAAAAATGTTCGGCATTTGTAACCAAGAACAAAACATAAAATATGCCGCATGTATACAATAATAAAAAAATGAATCATAAAATTAAGGTAAAGGTAAACTAACTGCAACAATACGCTAGGGAACACTTTCAATTGACCGCAGCAAACGGCTGGCTGGCAAGTTGAAGTGTCACTGAGCAAGACACCTAACCCCCAATTACTCCACATAAAATGATGTCAAACCATGGGCGTTTTGGATAAAAGTGACAGCTGCATGTATAGTAATGTCCTGTAAGTCAAAGTCATCATCGTATCTCATGAGATACTATCTCATTATGGTGACTTACAGGACCTGTTTTTCAGTGGCTGACGTGGGCTTCCATAAATTAACCTACAACAGATGTAGATGGATTGTGATTCACTGCACTTGTATGTGTATTTCCACCACTTCATAAAATATATGTAACTTGCAGTTGAATTACGGTAGTCTGCTATTATCGTGAATTGACAGCTTTATCTGTTTATTCATGACATTGGCCGTTAATTTACAAGCAAGGGATGGAAATTTAACTGTATGTTACAGTTATTATGACATACTGTAAGATACCGTTAGAATTGCACTGTAAATTTACAGCAATGTGTTAGAGTGTAACTAACTAACCTCTTGCATTTGTCACTACTTAATTGAGCAGAGTACTTGAGCACAGCTTTGCTTGTAAAAGGAGAGCGTTATGGGTTCAGAGCAGCTTCAGAGCAGCCGGCCAACAATACCAAACCCCCCAGTCACGGCCGGTGGTGCAGCTGGACTGCACTGCAACCAGAATTGGAGATGAGTTTGTTTTATTGTGGAGTGCTTCATCATAGGGAGCTTTTCTCGAGGTTTTAGTGACACAAAAATGGACTTTCCTTCAGAGCCGCCAGTAAAACCTCAGCCACACCGATGCTTTACATCAGTGATCCCACGCTTGCTGAGCTTACATCTGTTTCAGGACTAATCCAGTTGTTGCCGACTGGGCGGGGAAGAATCCAGCTCTCGGCGTCAGATCTGCAGTGACGGGCGGGGGCGGCCCCCGGCTCTCTATAATGCAACGGTTAATGCTCGCCGCTCCTCGTGCGCGGACCGAGCACGCCGCTGATTTCCCCTGCTGAGAGCTGCTAACAGCCTTCTCTTGTTCCGTTAAACGCCAGATGAAAGCTCCCCGCAGCAGTCAAGTAGATGCCACGTGCCGCGATTTCTCCCTCGGCCTCCACCGGGGGCCACGGAGTGAGAGACGTGGGGTCGCCTAAGCAGGAAAACACATCTGCACACACGCTCTCAGGAGTAAACTGATCTCCAAGACAGAGCGAGTTTTTGGCGTTACTGTGTTTTGCTGATGAGATTGAAATGTGAATTGCAGACTCCTTTAGCTCAAAAACCCCCTCGCCTACCACACACACACACACACACACACACACGCACACACACACACACCACACCACAACTCCCATCCGTTCGCGCCCGCACGATGCCAGTTATTCATGGCTTGC